ATCATTTAAAAAATTTTTTAATAACAACATGATTAGAAGAAGCATTTCACTACAGCTTTAACATATTCCGTAACACACTCCAGAGCAAGAGTACATCCATCCGGCAGGATGATAATTTTTAAAAGCTGCCCATGGTGCGCTGGCTTGTGAATTAGCGGAAGTGGGAAGACAGCATCAAAGGGAGCACCTGCCTCCTTATTCATACGACGATACCCAAGCACCTGCATGTACCATCTCAGGAGAGAGGGATTTAAACACTGTCCACTTTACAGATGGCAGCAGCTGGGAGGCCACCTGTGGTCTCACGGTTAGGAAGGGACTAGGAGGATCCACATGCTCTGCTCCGGTTACCTGAACACCAGGTCCCAGCGCTTCTCCCCACCTCCATCCCAGGCACACTGCTCTCCCCCAGGAGATAAACTCCCAGAATGCCCCAAATTCAAAGAGAAACAATGTAGGCCGGAGAAGGACAAAGCGCAAAGGATGAGATGCAAATTCTACAGTTTCTGTTGCTCAAGAGGCTCTGGGAAATTTATTGCTCCCTGTTGATGTATTAATGCATCGGGGCGGAGGAGTGAACAATTGGAAGTGTGCTTCCCATTTCAATAACAAGCCATAAACAAACGGGCCACCGCCACCAGCCAGCAAGGAAGGAGCAGGGAGCAGCCTTTCTGGAAAGGGGCACGGGCTCCCCACCTGGCCCGCCAGACCCCCGCCCCACCGCCTGATCCCAGAGTGCACCACTACACTGTGGAGCCAGTCCAGGGCCAGCTCCTCACACCCCACGTGAATTCAGGGGTATAAGGCTGTGAGGTTTGGAAGCGTTTTTGCAAGCAGATGTTCCCAGAGACGCGTAGGCGTGGTGGGGGTGAGAGCCAGCTGCTGGAGACCTTGGTCTGGAACATCTCAAAGACCTCGCCAGGACTGATGTCACTGGCCTGAGCCGTAGCACCTCTCCCTCCCTTAAGTCAAGGACTCCAGGAATTTGGGGCCTCACTCACTGTCTGGAAACAACACCCCACAGCCTCACCTGAAGATGGGGAGTTGAGCCACACCGCCAGATACCTGGTCTGCAGAGTGGCCATGGAGGCAGCTTGTGTCTTGGCCAGGATGTGTCCCCAAACTTACCTGCTGTTTCTTAGGGTCCAGTGACTCCCAAGGAGCTAAGGCCACCAGGCCAATACAAGCGGAAGCCCAGAGTGTAGGACATGTAAGATGTGTGCTGTGTCAGGGTGAGGCTCACCCTGAGCTCCCTCCAGGGGCCCCTCAGAGAATCTCAGGGGGCCATGGATAAAATCCACATCTACAGAAGAGCATGAGGCTCTCCTGAGTGGGGTCTTCAGGTCACAAGCAACTGCTAGGTGTCACCCACCTTGGGACCAGTCTCCCTCCAACCCAAGCTTGGTCCCCTCCTAACCCCACACCCTGGGGCTGGGTACCTGTCACTGACGTGCAGCAGAGGGCGGGTGTCCTTGGTCCAAGAGACCATTGGGGGTGGGGAGCCCTGGGCCTCACAATCCAGGGTCACCTCTTCACCGGCCTTCACTGTGACTCTCAGAGGCAAGTCCACATTCTGGGACCCATTTGTCTTGATCTTGGGCTTGGCTGTTGGGAGAAATGTGGTGGGAAGAAAAACCAGGAGGGCAGTAGGCAGCTCCCCCAGGGAGCAGAGGTAAAGCCACCTTGACCTTCAGGGGGTCCTGGGAGTGAGCGAGACTGAGTTCTCTACAATTGCGAATGCAGGTTTGACTCAGCCGCTCCCTTGACTGTCACTCCGCTCTGCCACCTGGACCTCTCTCCTGCCCCAGAGTCTAGGCCTCCCCTGGCTTCTCTCCATCCTGTTGTCCCTTCCTAGGGACATCCCAGCAGGCTCCACCCTCTTCCCTTCTCTCTCTACCACCTCCCCATTGGTCATCCTTTTAGTTCCCAGGATACCTATCACCAAAAGGGGCATCAGCTCTCTCTGGCTCCTCAAGCCCCAGTGGGGGTTTCCAATGATCTCTGTGGCAGTCACATCCTGCTCTCTCTCAGGCTGAAGACCTTGATGGCAGAGGTTACCTTAGCTGCCCCTCTTCCTCTCTGCCCTGCTCTCTGGCCCAGCACTCACACACTGTAAAAACTTGGTTGGTAACAAACCATACAGCACACACAGTGGGGACATCTAAGCACCCTGCCATCCTGTGTACTTCTTTAGCATCATTAATTCAAAAAGGAAACGCACCCCTATTATTATTTTATTATTTTGAGAGAGGGTCTTGTGTAGCTTAGTTTTTTGTTTTTTTTTGTTTTTTTTTTTTTGGTCTTTTTGAGACAGCGTTTCTCTATAGTCCCAGCTGGCTCGGAACTCACTATGTAGACCAGGCTGGCCTCAGACTCACAGAGATCTGCCTGCCTCTGCCTCCCAAGTGCTGGGATTAAAGGTGTGCCCTACCAAACCCAGGCCATGCTCAGTTTTGAAAAAAAATATTTTATTTATCATTTTTATTTTATGTGTGTGAGAGTATTGCCTATATGTATGTAAGTGTACCCATGTTGTATGCCCACTGAGGTCAGAAAAGAACATTATATCTCCTGGAATTATGGACAGTTGTTAGCCACCATGTAGGTCCTGGGAACCGAACTGGGGTCCTCTACAAGAGCAGCCAGTGCTCTTAACCACTGGGTCTTTTCTCCAACCCCCAATTTTTTAAAAAATGTTGTTCTGGGGATGGAACTCAGAGCCTCATGCATGTTAGGCAAACACTTTACCAACCGAGCAACATCCCCAGCATCCCCATTACTTTTAAATTTTATTTATCTTAACTTTATGTGTATGAGTGTTTTTCCTGCTTATATGTAAGTGAATCTGGATCATGCAATGCCCACAGAGGCTAGAAGAGAGTATCAGATTTCTTGGAACTCGAGTTATACATGGTTGTTAGCTGCCATGTGGGTGCTGGGAACCCGGGTCCTCTGTAAGAGCAGCCAGTGCTCGTAACCACTGAGCCACCTCTCCAGCCTGTGCACTTGCCCACTGTCTCAAGCATACTCCCAGAATGCCCTGCCCTGTGGGGAATGCTGGGGAAAAGTCCCACCCCTGTCCTTGCAGCATTTAGGGTCTACAGGGGACACTGCAACCCAGTTAACTAGCATACAATTACTTAATCTCAGTTGTGACCAGTGCCACTAAGGGGGCTCCCCAGAGTTTACAGCAAGGTGGTTTGATCCAGCTTGGGGTCTGACACATGGGAGAACTGGCTGGGCCAAGAGGCAGAGAAGGAGCATTCAAATGGAGGGAGTTTCGCATTCGAAGGCCCTGAGGCAGGCTGGGCCACTGAATAAATGAGGAGGCCAGAGGGCTGGGCCAGAGAAGGGCAAGGAGAGAGGCAGGTGAGGGACTTCTGGGGTGGGTGAGGCTTGTGTCTCTCCAGACCCATCTGGTCCCTGAAGGCTGAGTGGGGCCCCTCTGACCCCACATCTGCTGACCCATCTCGCATCTGGGCCCTGGATCACTCACTGTTGACAGACAGCCGCATCTCCTGGCTGGAGAAGCCCACACTGTTGGTGGCGGTGCACACATAGGCCCCCGCATCCTGGGCAGATGGCTGGGCAATGACCAGAGTGCCGTCCCTGCTCACGCTGTAGTGACTCCTGGTGTTCAGAGTGTTGGTTCCCTAGGACAGAGCCAGGTAACATCATCTGACCTCACACTCCCTCCCAGGATGCACCAGACTGACTGCTTGTGGTTATAAGCTCTGCCTACCTTGGTCCAGGTGATGGTGGGGATGGGGATGCCTGAGGCAACACATGGGAGGGAGGCTGGGGCTCCTTCATTGGTGACATGGTGGGTGACAGTCGGATGGATTCTAGGAGGCACTTTTATAAACAGACAAATTAAAAATTTTGGATTTATTTATTTTATTTTCATTGTAAGCGTATGAGTGTTTTGCTTGCTTGTATGTAAGTGCACCTGTGCATGCAATGCACACAGAGGCCAGAAGAGGGCGTTGGATCCCTTGGAACTGGAGTTTCAGGTGGTTGTTAACTGCCATGTGGGTGCTGGGAACTGAACCTGGGTCTTCTGCAAGAGCAGCCAGTGCTTTTAACTGCTGAGCCATCTCTCAACAGTGTTCATAAACCAGTGTTCATAATAGACAGGAATGGAAGCAAGCCAAACATCCATCGACAGTGACTGGATAAGGAAAATGAGATGTGTGTATATAATGGAATAGTACTTAGTCTTCAAAAGGAAGGAAACTGATTATGACTTTTTGGAAAGGGAAAATTAGGCAGACAATAAAAACATCAGTTGTTGCCAGGAGTTATACATGCATAGGATGTGGAGGTAGGGCAGAGTACAGAGGGTTTTCAATACAGAGAAAGCACACTGGTTACAATGGTCATGGCGGGAACATGTCATGATACATTCATTCAAATATGTGGAACAAGCAATACCCTGAGTGGACTTGGCTGGTGATGAGAGGCCCAGGTCGGCCCATCAGCTGTCAGGATGGGCTGTTCTGGGAATGAGGGTGTTGACAATCTGGGCGACTGCAGGGGAAGGGTGAGGGGCATATGGGATACTTTTGTATATATGTTCAATTTTGTTGTGAAAGTCTTCTTTTTTAAAAAAATCTAGTCTTGACCAGGCGTGGTGGCGCACACCTGTAGTCCCAGCACTTGGGAGGCAGAGGCAGGCGGATCTCTGTGAGTTCAAGGCCAGCCTGGTCTACATAGTGAGTTCTAGGACAGCTGGGGCTTACAGGGAGACCCTGCTTCAAAAAGACCAAAAAAAAAAAAAAATCTAGTCTAGGCAGGCCTGGTGGTACAGGCTTGTAATCCCAGCTACTCAAGAGGCTGAGGCAAGAGGATCACTCATGCAAGGCCTTTCCTGGGCTATAAAGAGTGAGTTCAAAGCCAGCCTGGGCAACATAGTGAGACCCTGTCTCAAAACAGAGTAAACTAAAGAAATAATAGGTTGGGAGGATAGCCTGGTAGCAAAGTATGTGAGATGGTGGGATTCCACCTCTACCAGCGGAAAAGAAGGGAGGGGAGGGGAGAAGAGAAAAGAACGTTTTAAGCTAGTCGTGGTGGCACATGTCTTTGATCCCAGCACTCTGAGGGAACAAAGGCAGGTGGATGTCTGTGAGTTTGAGGCCAGCCTACACTACACTACATAGAGTTCCAGCTAGGACTCTGGAAGGACAGAGACAGAGAGAGAGAGAGAGAGAGAGAGAGAGAGAGAGAGAGAGAGAGAGAGAGAGAGAGAGGTGGTGTCTGTAGCTATACATAATATGAATGTGTTTAACGCCATTGAATTTGACAGTTGAAGCTGGTGAAAATAAATAACACTATATTGTGTAGACTTTACAATCTAAAAGAAATTTAGAGAGGAGTTTTATTCTCAACCGGAGAATAAAATTGGCCCAGTATCCACAGCCACACATCTGACTGTCGAATCCATCTGAGACAGAGGCCACCTGTGCTAGGAACAGCTGCGACATCTCTACTTGGGACTTTCTGTAAACCACTTAATCCTTCAGTCCCCTATTCTCAGATGCACCAGAAAGCTAAACCGACTGGATTCCCTGCTCATGGCTTTGGGAACAGACAGATGAGAAATGGAAGAAAGCAGTGTTGACAGGCAGAGTGAATTTAGAAACAGGTGTCAAATGCAAACCCTCCCGATTCATCATGAACTTGAAGGGATGGGGGAGGGGAAGCCAAAAGCCAAATACCCTAGAGGTCCTTGGCAGCTTATCCAGGCACCTAGAGCCAGCAAGTGGGTGGTATGTGTGGAATGGGCAAGAGACAAGGTTAGACCATGCCAGTGCCACAGGTGCAGCTGTGCTGGGCACTGTAACAGTGTGTGTGTGTGTGTGTGTGTGTGTGTGTGTGTGTGTGTGTGTGTGTTTAAAGTGGGAACATAGACCCTAGCTAAATCCTGGCGTGGGCTCCAACTCAACCTTCATCAGGATTCTGGACATGGCCACAGAGGCAGGTTCTCGCCAGCTCCAGACCCTGGTGAGTTTGGACTTCCCTCTCTCATCCAAGAAAGCCGACCTCTTCCTCTCACAGTTTAATACAAGAAATGCTACGGAAAGAGAGGCAGGTGCAACCAGGCAAATGACAAACACCCAAACCTGGGTCCTCATCATAGTTAAAAGGGACAGTGGCACTCAGATGGGTAAGCCAAGGACTCCAACATTCAACACCCTGAGTAGGTGGGCAGCTGGGTAAATTTAGCTAAGGGTTCTAAAATGTGCCACTTCCAGATGGACATGGTGGCCCACACCTCTAATCCCAGTACTTGGCCGGCAGAGGCAGGTGGGTCTCCGTGAGTTCAAAGCCAGCCTGCTCTACATAGAATGAGTTCCGGGCCAGCCCCTGACCCTAACTCAAGAATTAATTAATTAGCTGAGCGTGATGGTGCATGCCTTTAATCCCAGCACTCAGGAGGCAGAGGCAGGCAGATTCTCTCTCTCTCTCTCTCTCTCTCTCTCTCTCTCTCTCTCTCTCTCTCTCTCTCTCTCAGTCTTTTTGAGACAGTGTTTCTCTATAGTCCCAGCTGGCTTGGAACTCACTATGTAGACCAGACTGGCCTCAATCTCACAGAGCTCTGCCTGCCTCTACCTCCTGAGTGCTGGGATTAAAGGCGTATGCCACCATGCCTGGCTTAATTAATTTAATTTAATTAAGAAAACTAAGGGTTGGAAAGATGGCTCAGCAGTTAAGAGCACTGGCTGCCCTTGCAGAGCACCTAGGTTAGAGTCCCAGCACCCACATGGCGGCTAACAACACTCCAGTTCCAGGGGATCCAATGCCCTCTTCTGACCTCTGCAGACATTTCACAACTCAGGTGCATTACATTTATGCAGGTAATACACTCATACACATAAAATAAAAAATAATAGAATATATTTTTAAAAAAGAAAATGTGTCACTTACAAGACCCCAAGTTTAGAACATATCAGTGGTCATTCTATGTAGTACCAAGACATCTGGGGACACAGCTGTGACACGGTATTACAGAAACATGGCAATTCAGCAGTAGATTGTGGCCACAGTTTGGTTTTTTAAGCATGGATTTCTGGGGCTGGAGAGATGATCCACTGGTAAAGTGCAAATATGGGGACCCGAGTTAGGACCCTGGCACTCACATAAAAGTGGGGCATGGTTGTACACATTTATAATCCAGCTCAGGGTAGGAGGTGGTGGAGGGTTGGGGGAGGTAGAGGAGACAGGAAGATCCCAAGAGCCCACTGGCCAGATGTCTAGCCAATCGGTGAGCTCTGGGTTCAGTTAGAGACCCTGTCTCAAAAAATAAGGTGATGGGTTGACGAGATGTGGTGCTGCCAAGCCTGATGACCTCAATTCAATCTCTGGCATTCACACGGTAGGAGACTACATAGTAAGCTTCCATCCCATTCATATACATATATATGTATATATATTAGACGTTTATAAAGCATGATGTATATATACTCTCTAAATAGTATATATGCATATGAGTGTTCTAGGTATACATTATCTGAACCCAGTCAGCCATATATTCCTACATAGGTTTAACCAACCTCAGATGGAAAATACTCAGAAAATAATTGAACTGAAAATGTGCAGGTTGTTTTTCCTTGTGAAAACACCGTGATAACGATATGCACAGTGTCTCCATTTCACTAAGCACTAGGAGTCATGGGAGGGATGGGTGTTCTGTGCAAACACTAACCAGACTCTCATGTAGCCCAGGATAGCCTCCAACTCACTACCTTAGTAAGTATAACTTTGAACTCCCAATCCAAGTGCTGTGATTACAGGTGTACCACTTGTCCCGTCTACAAGGTGCTGGGGATGGAACCCAGGACCTCATGCATGCCTGGCAAGCACTCTTCCAGCTGAGCAGATACAGTCCAGTTTACATAAGGAACTTGAGCATACAGAGAAGTTGATAACCAAGGGGTGTTCAGGGACCAGTTTCCTGTGGATACTAAGGGGCAGCTGTAGACTGAATGTAAATAGAATACAAGGCATAAACTGGGTAGCTCCCAGTGGTACAGGAATGACTTTTTAATTCCCTTACAGTGAAGACGTGTCGTTCATGCAATTTTCCCAAACAAAAGTTGCCCCAAGTGCCTTCCCTTAATCCCATCACCAGCACCTTGGGACCCAGGACTCACCATGGACCACAAGCTCCACGTCTCGGTGCTGAGAGCCTGCCACATTGGTGGCCACACAGCTGTATCTCCCAGCATCCTCCTGCAGAACTCGGTCTATGTGGAGGCTGCCATCAGTGCGAACTGAATGCCGGCTGCCTGGAGGGAGCTGGGGACGGTGAGGAGGCAGCAGCTGGGGTGGAGTGCACTTAGGTGGGTGGGAGCCGCCCCAGTAGTTCTGTCCTCCAGATCTGCTGGGAGTGGCTGGACTGAGAGACCAGAGGTCAGAGCAGGTGGAAGAGCCCAGTGGGGGTGATAGCTAGCCCCCAACCCTTCTCTGAGAGTCACCCATCTTCTGAGATCAGCAAGGTTAGGTGGGCCCTACCCCTGCATATCCTGGATCCACCTCGCCCTCAGCCGGCAGGGCAGGTGGATGAGGGCCAGTTGCCTAACCCAAACCCGACCTGTGAGAGTTGGTAAGAGGACTGTGGAGTTGGGATAGAGCTAAGGCTGCGGGGCAGTGGCAGCCTTCCTATGCTACCAAGGAGAGAGAGAGAGAGAGAGAGAGAGAGAGAGAGAGAGAGAGAG